TTATAAGCGACCAGTACGTCAACATACCCGAGAGCTCGTGAACTGAGAAGAAACAGAATTGAATTAGAATCTCTGCAAGGAGGAACTCACAAATGAGCTCGTTGATTGCGTTTAGTATCCATGTAGGTGGTTAAAGTAACTCCAGTAGGCGGATCGATGGCGAAGCGAAACTCCTTGACGCCGAGGACCATGTGTGGTTCATGAAGCTTGAACTCCTCCTCGATTATACCGCAATGTGTTTTACCAGCAAAGGAGCTTACCTGAATCGGGGATGTACGCGGTAGAAATCATCAGTAACCTCACCTTGAGAGTTTCATACTCGTACACCAGGCGAGGCTCATCGTAGGAGGCTTGAGAGACACTCAGGAGGACGAAGGGTAGGAGTTGTTGAAACATGCAAAGCAACAAAACGCTGAGGGAATCAAGGAGTTTCCATTCTGCGCTGTTGGCTACGCGCTCGCCCATAAAATGGTCCCACCAGAGGAGTATTGACGACATCGTGATACCATTGAGGTTTTACGCCCAGCGTTAGTTCCTAGTTCTAAAATTAAGGTCCGTAGTTCACTAAGATCTCTAAGCTATAGGTACACTGTCAACGCCGTCGCTCACAGCGATATCCCTTCCACTTTACTCTCGCTACTTTTTTGCTTACTCGCGCGCCACTCAACTCGCATAAAATGAGGCACACTGTCCTCGCCGTCGCTCACAGCGATATCCCTTTTCACTGAGTGAGAGCGCTACTTTTTTGCTTACTCGCGAATATGAATAAACTCGCCAAAACCAATATTGGCGTGATTCTGACCACCTCTCAACGCCTCCCCAAAGCCTTTAGTCAAGGAGTATGCCAAGCACCAACACTGGTGCCCCCGCCTTCAGTGAGGCCACCGGTCAAGTAGCCCTCGAGATGGGTCGTCAAACACTTTTGGCCGCCTCTAACGCAGCCCAACAGGGCCTCGTACAGGTGAGTTAATCCCTCACTATCCACCTATCATATACCACTATAGGTGCATCACTACATTCAACAAGGCCCGAATGGTCTTCGAGTTCTATGCTTCGTTGGAGGTCTCGGTGTTACGCTCACTGGAGCCCTCGGAGTGTTGAACATTTTCTCGACTATTATACATCCAATCGATTACCTTTGCAATGCGTCAGTCAAGGCCACTCAGGAGGTGGTTGAGATATCATGCATTATCAGATATCAATTTCTCTTCGGAGGTATTACTTGCATTCTTGAGGCCAACCCAGAACTGCTCAGAGAACGCGTTCATTGGCAGGAAAAAATGTGGAGTTAACTTTGTGCCAATTTCGTGACGTAGTTGTCACTAGATACGAATACGCCAAGTTCCTCACTTTGTTATGGGGAAGAGGACTCTTCTACCTCTTTCAAGGCTCACTGGCGTTAGTTCAGTTCAGTCTGCTGTACGCTATCGTTGGTGTGTACATGTTCGTTATGGGAATATTATGCATAGCTATGTGGAAAGGGTAAGCGAAATATTCGATTCGAAAATTTCGAATCGCATATCCCCAGATTTCGTGATGACTACTGCTATCCATTTTCCCAGTATTTGTGAGATTTTTTCCGTTCTCGACTAAATCATTGTGGGAAATTATTAGGCAGAAAAACTCCAAAAAACGAATGAAAACGATGCGTGTTAAAACGTCATAACACTGTTCGTTCGTGATCTGTAGAATCGGTGTTCGACGTGTCGTTAACAGGTACCAACCGGACCTGCAAGGAGTTCAGCAGACTCTGGCTGAGCAAACAGGTCGCTTTGTACCGGCTAACGCTTTGGAGGAGGGCACAGTGTCTTTGGAGAGGCAGAATCCATGATGGAAAATAACATAGCATCATTGCCGCGTGCTTCTTTATCATTTAATCGACCTGTGTTGTGTTTTGATCGAGGCGGTAGCCTCTCGAGACGATATGTTAAGGGAAGGAATAATTTCATTGAGGGACGACAGTCTACAGCCAATGATGTGAGCTAATGGGAAAAGAGTAAATAAAATAAAGGCAATACTGTGCTCTAGGAGGAGACCCCCTCATACGATAATAGCAATAGCAACGAGACACCATTAAAATATTCAATTCCGAATCGAAGTTTCATTCGCATATTTCACGAGCTAAATTTTTGGAATGGGACATCAATTTCTTAGAATTGGCGGCCGTCGGAGTGGACCTGAAGGTATTGGAGTATGGTCAGCAGCGTGTAGGATATGTGCACCGCCTCACGGATAATTTGGCCACAATGGGTGTCATACGCAAGCTCAAGGCGAGGCCGGCTTCTCTCAACCGGATAGCGATGTCGGTGGGGTTCTCGCGCTTCCAAATTGGGTGTACTCATATACGAGGGGAACATAATTTGATAGCAGACACGTTGTCGCGTTCCTCACGATTCAGTTGCCGGGAACAAGTCCCAGCTGAAGGACTTATTTAAGTAGCACAGGATTGGATATCCATCAGCTGGGCGAGTTGGTGTCACTAAATTTAGTGACAACAAATAGTGATATGACACCAAGTTTAGTGACACCGTCTGTTTGCGCCTTGGAGCTGCAGTGTGTATTATCCAGGATTCAGACGACTTTGATCCGTGCACTGTCCGTTTTCCTTATTCCACTAAGCTTATTTTTTACCATGCTCAATGTTCTCTTTACTGAGCTCTGGCAGAACCTCTTCACTCCAAGAAATGGATTTTCCGATGGTGTATTATTTACCGTGAATAATTCCACATTCCCGTTTATTACATCTTGGTTCAACATGCAGTTCTCTTTCATCGTATTTATTCTGTTCCTAACTCATTTACAAAGGGGTTGCTGTCTCTAGCCGCACTCGTTACTGTGCATCGGCAGCGAATCTTACGCTGTCCCCTTTGTGTTAGCTGAGCTTAGCTTAGCTCCATTAGCCACAAAGGCCCATACGTTTCCTTGTTATCTATCTCTCCGAAGTTTCTTCGCCTTGTGTTGTGTCACGTGGAAACATGGTGCATCATCCGAGAATCGATTCAGAAGAATCTAACCCTGCTGAGGCTCAACCTGGTCGAAGCGTCTCCACGGAGGTGCTTCCCCCAAGTGCGGCTGATCGGGTTGGAACCGATGGGGAACAATGATTGTTCAACAATCCGATAGAACGGATTCCCCCGCGGGCCAAGGAAGGCAGGCTTCTGGATCCTCGGTGCCCGTGACATCAACAACTAGAAAGAAGATCCTGTCCCCTTTACTCCTTCCCGACCCAGCCGTCAAGGATTCGGCATCTGTCTGGGAACAGCTGCGCAAAGCTGTCGAGGCCCATCGTGACGAGGCCGCCGACAAAGAGCTACTATCCCCGTCCGAAATCAGCCGCCTCACCCCCTACTCCCCGGTAGAGTATCTGCTTGGTTGTGGTCAGTGACCGCTGGTAACCCTCATGACGTAGGATGGAAAGGCCTTTTCGTTCGCGACAGGAGCGGGAAAAGCCTCGGCCTCGACCTGCCCAGGTTTATTGCATCATATGGCCTAGGCCTTAGCGATCAACGTGTCAAAGACGCATCGGCGATGCGGCATCGCTAGACGCTGCAGCAGCTAACGCACGCCGTCGCCTAGCTACTACCCCCGGCCATAACTCTGAACTGTCCAACCTCGCTCCCTCGGTAGCCGTCGCCCCAACTTTCAACTACCGTGACTTCGTGAGACATCTCGAACGTGCCACTCAAGCCTGTCGAGTTGACCCAAGTCCGCTGCGACTTCTAGCTGTAGCAGCAGCCTTCCCTTCGAGGTTCACCGAAGTTATACGAGATGAACTCATTCGCGATGCTGCTCTCTCACCAACGTCACACAAGTTCGGTTCATGGCGAATGGTCTACAAGAGGTTGAAGGAAGCCGAGTCCCTCCAAGATGAGAATAGTGCATCGAGCAAGGAGCTCGTGGCTTCATCTAGCACCCTCCTACTAGAGTGGTACGCGTCCTGTTCGTCTCTTTTAAAGAAGGCTCTAGCACCGGCCCACAAGTATTTTACTCGCCCAGAGAAGTTCACAACTGTGCTACGCAAATGGGTCGACAGTGATCGCTATATCTCACGAAGATCCTGGGATGAGTCTGCACAAGTTGAACGCCAGCTCTTCAGTCAACTGACCACCGAGCATAAAGTCAAGATCGACTGGCCGTGCCGACGAGTCTTATTGACTGATATGGTTAAAACTTTTAACCTTAAAGTGCACCCCGGTTCTCAAGCCATCAGGATTCGGCTACCCTAAGTCTCTCGAGTAGGACTTTCCTGCATGAACTCAAGAAGTCCCCGGATGAAGAAGGATTTCACCACAAACTGATTCAAACTTCCCAAGATCTGGGACATAGATCAATCGATGAATTCCTTCAAATAGAGTTCTCATCCCGGTCATCTCTACACGGCTCTCTCCATCACCGCAAGCGCCCACTGACCGAAGGGTCATCTCGACCCTCCAGCAAGCGTCCCCGAGAGCTTCCACCGGCTGGTACGAGCTTCTTCAAGCCTAATACAACAAGTACATCAGCTCCTAATACTCAGCACCCTGTAGCTGACTCCTATCGGTCTTACTCACACGACAAACCTCGGCTATCTGTTCCCAAAGGCAGCTTGCGACAAGCTCTGGGAATATCCGACGCTGAGTCGAGTTGCCGATGGAAGAACAAACTCTGTTCGCTACGCGGTTATTCCTCTCACCGTGCCAAGGAGTGCACTGACCCAAAAGTTCAGCAACTGATGAAACAGCGCAATAAGCAGGATCACACACCTAAGTCTCAGTATCCTACCTCTGTATTGAGTTTCTCTGTAACTGCTGGGGCCGTGGGAAGCGACTGAGAAAAACTGCTCATCCGCTATGTCGACATTCAAGACGTCGACAGCCCTCAGAGCGAGTGGCACTCCCTGAGATGTGGACTCGACACAATGTGCTCCTTCTCCCTCGTAACGCACACCGGAGTATCTGCATATAGCTTGGTCCAGACTGATGCTCCATACTTACTATTGGACACTGTCTGTCTGGTTGAAGACAACTCCAAAGGTCCCCCCCAAAACCAACCATCTCCAAGTTCCGTGGTTCGTCTCAATGTGAGACCGTCCTGGAACAAAGGAATGATGGTGTCCATAGAGGCCTACGTCGTGGATCACTTACCGTCTCAACTTGATCTCCTCCTCTCTTACATTCGACAACTCGGGGTTTTCGTCAACCTGAACCAGGACCAAGCTTCTGCACCGGCAACCTACCCCCTGGCGGCTAACCTAGATGTCAGCCTGCATACCCAGCTCAGCAAGGTTGGTCAATTGTTGGTACATCGCGTGCTTAAACAACAACCTCTCCCCGGGGCCGCCTCCTACATGGGTGTACTCCGACAAATGCATCGTGGTGAGTGCCGCGACACACCTGAGCAAGAATATTGCTGGGAAGTGTCATGGCCTCAGGAGAATATGACTCACCCAACACACTCGTTCCCTCCCACACGTGCAGTGGGACCGCGAGAGGACTACTCCAGCAAGGAGCTGAAGGAGCTCTCTCCCCAACAGATCACTGCCTATAAAAAAGAGATCAACATGTATCTTACAAATAATTTATTAATAATTTATTTGAAATAAATGGTGGCATACTCTAAACGAGTCCTCTCCTCCCCACTCCCCAATTGTGGACGGCCCTTCTATCATAACCTTCTCCCTAGCACAAGGAGCTTGGAAATCTACCAAGGTGAGGCCTTGTAGCGATGCCCGAGGCCTAAACCGGCACCTCCCCCCAGGTAGCTACAACGGCCTTACAATACAGCAGATAGCCATGGCGGCATGCCTCCGCTGGAAAAATCACTACAAAGGTGTCTTCCTAGACCTGAGTAAAGCCTTCTATCGGTGCAGATTGAATCGAATTCTGCCCCCTGCAACTCTCACCCGACGGGTGAAAGTTTGTGAGGTGTCCCGCACAGAGCTTGCTCTCCGTTCACTCAGACTCTGCCTCAATGCCCTAATCTCCTGCTCCAATGCTTGCATCTTAGACCTGACCACCTCTGAAGTGCAATTTGATATCAACAGCGCTTACGCATGGGCGCTCTGGATGACCTTAATGCCGACTCCAATGCACTCATCCGGAGAATCAGGCAGATTATCTGCCGCAGATAAATGGTCCGTTTGTTAGAGTGATCACTGGAGCCAACAGAGGTCATAGCAGTTAGCACCCTTGGTGCTAATGGCGCTACTAACAAGCATCAACACACCTCAAAAACAAAAGACAACTATTCGAGAGAAATGGTCCAATGGTGGTGTATCTTCAACCCAAGATTTAGGCAAGATATTTTCCGATGGCAGAGATTCGCCAAGCCGTTAAGACCGGCATGCCTGACAGCGAGCCTGAGATCTGCCACAGGCTCGGGAGGGACTCCGGCCCCCAGTACGATGCTGCTCGGGTCTACCCCAATGCGGGAGAAGGCGTAGGTTGGTCTGTGCTGGGGCCCTTATCGTTTGCAGTGTTGGAGGATTATATGTTCACTTTCCTCAGCTGAGTTCAGAAGTTTCCAACGCTATTCTATGGGAATCTACACATAACTAGGGGTAGGAGTCTACGAAAACCAACATTAATTTCCTCAGAGTTTTTCTATTGTCAGCAACGCGTGTGGTCGTTGAGCATGTGCACATTTTTTCGCGCACGAGACGACGACAGATATTTATAATATAAACTTTATATGATATATCCTATATATGTGCCTATGTCGCGGGCCTTCTGACGCGTGAAGCCTGAAGTCACTTCAATACTCCCTCCCTTCCCAATGGAGCATCTGAGCATGACCGCATGCCACGGAATTTCCATCAAGGTCACCAGATGCTCAATGAATCAATTTTCGAACTCGGAATCGATGTTGGGAGAGACTCAATTTCAGAATCGGGTTTTCCGAATCCCCGTCAGTCATGCCAGGCATGACTGACGGGGATCGACGAGTATCACTCAGGCCCTGAGTGATATGAATGGCGATGTTATCCTCTGGCATCATCCCAGATGAGTTGCTCGTTTCTTAATGAACAAGAGTATTTGAGTATCGTAGAATGTCCATATCTACCACTCCTCCCGCAACTCTCGCAGCATATGCCTGGAAGTTGTGATAATGATTTCTCGAGGCTTGACAACTCTGCTATCTGCTATAGTTGTCACTCATTCAGACGAGGATTCGTGATTGATCATGTCTACTTTTCTCTCTCGTATACTCATTATCAGACTTATTGAGAAACAGACAAGAACTTATGAGATTACAAGATATGTCTGTGACGCATCCGATATTCGGTTCTGATCTGTAACGTAAATCGGGAAATCCATACTTTTGCAGCTCGTTACATTTCGAGTGTCTTACCGTAAGACTCTTACGTACTTCAGGGGTTCTTATTTGGATCTTAATCGTCGGTCTATTCTGTCACTATTACTCCGACATTGATACGAGTCCTAGTAGAGAAAGCGATGTTCGGTTGCACGCGAGTCCGTCGTCGATAGCTTCCAACGAAGAGTCTGCAGGAAAGGAAACCGTGTCGCTATAGAAGTTCTGGACCAATCCGAGTCAGCGGAATCTGGGCGCGCGCTTTGTTCATGAAACTAGCGCACGCCATCCTAATCGATTTTGCTGTTGGGATTCCAAGTCTCCGCCGGGAATTTCTTACAGGTCGGGAGGAGTTTGATACATTCAGATCTTTCATAAAAGCTCGGGGTTGTCAAACAGTAGGTAAGGTAATAGACCAAGGATCGAACCCGAGACCTACGGAATGTTAGTATGCGCTCATACGCAAGTGAGCTGTGAGACTTATGGAAAAAAATTGTATAAGAAAACCGTAGGAAACCGCTGAGAGAACCCGCATCGGAGAATTGCTGGCGACTCAATCGTTGACGTCGTGTGAGCGAATCTCCAACTAGTATTGTATAAAATGCAAATTGTGGGTTTTTAGTATCGTTAGTTTGGTGAGGTTGATAGCGCCGCGAACAGGAAATTGCGAAGCCTATTCGAGAGGGTGTCACACGGCATAGTCGAGAGTGAAGACCGCTGAAGAACCGCAGGTTAGTTACGAGAGACTATGACTGGGAAGGTGGCTAGAAGGAGTGATGTGGCTCAATAGGGTACATGCCATTGCCTCCGTGAGGATGGGTTGAGACTGCACAGGTTCGATCCCTTCACAGTTGGATTTTCGTCGAGTTATTTTCATATTAAAGCTTCTACATAGCCTCATCCCCAAATGTTGAATTACAAGGGCTCCTTATTCTACCCCTCAAGGATCCAGCTCATACCCTATTCCTTATGACCACCATCAAACCAGAGATCATCATTGAGGGCGGCGCCGTTGCATCCATTCCTTCTTCCAGCGAGAGTGGTATAGTTCAGAAGCCTAAGCACGCCCAATTACAGGCGATTTTTCAGTAGTATTATCAAGGCTGACATTTCCTGGTCTTTGAATGGACGGCTCATTAGATATCTCATGGAGCACGAATACTTGGAGGCATTCTCTGTATTGCAACGCGAATCTGGTGTTGCTTACACTGAAGGCAGCAGTGACTGCAGCGTTTTGGATAGGGCTGTTGACATGTGGTGAGTTGGCGAAGGTGTGGTATGGATTTGTGCGAGCTATGTGATCCCAGGTATTCTGCCCAATATGCGGCCTATGGTGATTCTGAGGAGTCGGAAGGAGGTCCCGAGGACCTGTTGGAAGGGATAGTAAAGGAGGCTGGTGTAACCCCGCATGCAGTCGGTAAGGGGGGATCGAACCTGTGCGGGTTCAGTGGTAGTGGCTTATTATCCCTGCCTCAGTCCGTTCTGCCACAGCACCACATGGAGCCCGTGCCAATCCAACATGTGTGGTGTTTCACCCGACTGACTCGACGCTGTTGGCCACTGGTGGTGCTGACAGGGAGGTCAAGCTGTGGAGGGATAGTGAAGGTAGACAGCTGATGATCTCAACTTGCAGGGTTAGGATTTCTTCCGTTCCAGCCGTTATCGAGCCTACTGGTCTCGCTTTCCACGCCCCTTCCCCGGTCCTATCTCTCGACTGGAGCCCTGATGGGGCATTCATTGCTGTTGGATGCATGGGCGGTGAAGTGGTGAGTACTCTTACTAGTAGTAGCACAGCATAATGGTTGTAGTAGTACTACAGTAGTACTATTATGTTGTACTCACCATGTCGGGAGATATGTCGGGTGGACTCTCGCACCAGTATGAATATCGTAGGAATAATCATAGCTCGAGGAACCTACTGTTGTCTTCGATGCTTAGAAACTCAACTGCATCATGTTTCACCCTGTCATGATCTCCGTTCTTCGTGGAATATATTCCTATTCTCGATCACCGATTCTATTATTCCAATTCCTCCACTCTAGATTCATATTAATACGTGGCCTCTGCTAAGTCACTAATGGGCTTACCCTTTCGATTTTCTCTTTCTTCCACCTCGTTGGAATTTCCAACATTCAGGTGGTATTCGACGCAACCACAGGTGAACAAGTTGGCAAGTCCTCCCACCCAACGAAGACACATGTGAGAAATCTTGCTCCATCTTGCTATCTTGCATTTCCTCAACGCTGTTAGGTCCTTCGCTGCCAATTCTGCCCTCGAGTCAAGGGTGATGGGGAGCTGCTTTTATTCAGTGCATGTCGGGATATGACCGTCCAGTTTTACGAACGGACGCGGATTGAGGGATCCCGAGGTGAGAGCAAATCGATCACAATGGCGTGCGCGTTTAGCATTCCACCAGATTTCGAGTGGAGGAAGACGGGACTCCTTCGCCAAGCCCAACCAGTATCAGCTGCCACGTGGTTGGATTGTGATGAACCGGTTTTGGTCATGGCGATCGAAAATGATCCGTAAGTCGTGTGCATGCGTGCATACCACTCCTCGAGAACTTCTGCGCTCGTCTTGTAGGTACATGCATTATTATTCGGGTGAGACGCTGAAGAACATCGGCGACTACTCGTTGAACCCTCACAAACTCGATCGACATGTGAGCTTCAGAATTCGTGACATGTAAAATGCCCTCACCGGGAATCGAACCTGTGCCCTTCCTATTCTGCTTTACAGGTTATCATGGTCAATGGATGGTCACACTTTCATTCTCTGTGCTACTGATGCGCATAAGCTCCTGCTGTTCCGATCCTTCCATCACTCACCTATTCGAACGTGGGCGTATCTTGAGGTTGAGCTGATAAGATACAGATTAGGCCTATTTGTAGGTACTACGGCATTGATATTGACGAGTATGACAATCCTTCTCTTGCCGTATCTGCCGACCGGAGTTTTGTCCTCTCAACAACCACTGACAAAAGCGGTAAGTCTTCAAGCTCCAACTTTACTTTCTTTTAGTGTTCAGAAACCGACGAGAATTTGCTCAGAATTTTCATATCATCACCGACACATGTAGTTGACCATGTGCATCTTTTCCCCTCAGGCTCGTACATTGGTGGCTTAGCTGTGTTTGAGACGTTTTCACAGCAGAAGGTGATGACAATACCAGTGCATGAACGAGGTGCAATACGACATATGTGCTTCTCGAAAACGTAAGATGATACTTCGAGTGATATTTACTATAATTTTTTGTTTTTCAGAGATGACAAGATTGCTTCAGTGAGTTTTGAAAAGTCGCTCAAAATTATTGAGTAGTTTCCATTCCTTTGTCCAACCGAGAAACGTTTCTCACATGCCTCTAGCGGTGTTGTCAATGGCAACTACTAAAGTCTCGGATCACCCAGGCATGAATGTACTCCATAGGAGGTGCCCTGCAACTATGGTCGCTTTGAATCGCTAGTCGTAGTATCTTGCTAACTCCTATTGTTGCCATTATCATAGCGTGCCTGATATAGGGCTGATGCTATATCATTATTATTATGCAACAATGGTAGCCACTGATGATAAACACTCTTGAGTGCTATTGAAACCACCAGGCATGCACTAACCAGTATGCAACGATATCTATGTTTATATATAATCAATATCAATTAGATATTTATCATAACATAGATCTTTTATAGATAATATAAAATACATCTTTTATGCCCTCTCATTATGGTTCGAAATGATAAGCGCTCTTGCTCGATACGGACTTGAAGCCTCCAGGCATGCACTGGGCGAAAATCTCCCGTTTTGGCAAGTGATCGATGCTTTCACGAATTCGCGAGGAACAGGGGAGTGTTCGAGTGAATATTCTCAATAATAGTTAATGGTTATTAATAGGGGAAAAGTATGTTCAACAGCAGTAAGAAATCGTCTAAGTCGACCGAGAGCGGTGGAAGAGCGTCGTCCGGTGAGTTGATATTCTTATATCTTTTCAGCCCATCGGGGCTATAGTATATTACCCATTTGAACAATAATTTTTCCTCTGAAATTTCCCCGGGGCATTTTGGGGGGAAATATGTACATGGTCAACCACATGTGTTGATGACAGTGAGAAAATCTCATGTAAATTTTGGGAAATTCCAGTTGGTTTTTGTACTCTCACCCTCAGTTTCGTGTAAATGTTCATAATGTAGTTTCGGATATTTCTGAGCTGGATAAACCAAGCGAAGTTTGCTCGTCGGTGTTGTGATGATTTTCCCCCCTTTTCAGTGAAAAGTGGTAGCATCTCAGGGAGCTCACCAACGGCTCCTCTGGCAAAGCAAAATGTGATCTCAAGCTCACATAATTCCATGGCGCAGTGACGTTGTTTTTACAGAATCGCATAGCTCACTTCAAGAGACTTCTCGAAGGCAAAAGGCTATCTGTCCACTCCTTCGACTTGCACGATACTGTTGGCACGGGTGAGGCTAATGCCAAATTCGCGATACAGTAGTAGCCTACAGGGACCTTTGGACGTGTTCGAGTGGTGAAGCTGAAAGGCTCAGAAGATCGCTCCCCGATGGCTCTGAAGATGCTGAAGAAATCAGAAGTCATCAGATTAAAACAGGTTAGCGTCACGCGCCACGAAATTGCCAGGCAGTTCTCAGGTTGACCATGTTAAAGCAGAAAAGAGCATCTTATCGATGATCGAGCACCCCTACATAGTCAATCTGTGAGCGCCCATCGAATCCTACAAGATTCATCTCTGTTCCGCAGTGTGGGAATATACTGTGTCGGTGACTATATGAAAATTTTGCGGAAAATTTTGGGAAACTCTCGTTCGTCTCTGAACACTCCCACTCAAATTCGTATTTTAGCATTGGAAACTCCTTAGTTCAGCTGAGGAAAGCGAGCATATATTCCTACTCCTGCTGTTCCGTTTTAGGTTGACCTCATTCCAGGATGACAGGCGTCTGTACATGCTGATGGAATACGTGAATGGCGGAGAACTTTTCTCCTACCTTCGGAAAGAGGGTCGTCTTTCTAATGATCATGCTAAGTTCTATGCAGCGGAGATACTCTTAGCGTTCCAGTATCTGCATGGTATGCTCTCACTAGGGATCGAACCCACGACTTTTTTCTCAGATCAGGACATCATTTACAGAGATTTGAAGCCAGAGAACTTGCTCATTGACTCTAGCGGTATGCGAGAGGGGACACTCCTCCTGTCAGGTGGTCTTGAATTCCCAGGCCACGTCAAAGTGACCGATTTCGGCTTTGCCAAGATTGTTGATGATCGAACGTGGACCCTATGTGGTACTCCTGAGTACTTGGCCCCTGAAATCATACAATCTAAAGGTGACGATGATTCTGCTACGAAATGGACTCCTATACTTTCTCTCGTCTTCAGGTCATGGCAAGTCCGTCGACTGGTGGGCGTTAGGAATTCTCATATTTGAAATGCTGGCTGGTTTCCCACCCTTTTATCACGAGAGCTCCTTCGGAATTTACCAGAAGGTTACCTCGTGTTGAGTCACTCGCGATCTGTCAGTGATATTAGCAGATTCTTGCGGGGAAATATGACTTTCCCCGACATTTCGATATAAAGGGTAGAGATCTTATCAAGCGACTGCTCACGCACGATCGCTCTAAGCGATTTGGTTGTCTTAAGAACGGCGCGGAAGATATCAAGAAACATAAATGGTGAGGATGTTGGGATAAATAAGAAATTTTCGGAGAATTATTCCTCATAAGCGAGAAGACTCCTGAGCTCAGCTGAGGAACCGAACAAAACATACATCCTAACACTATTGCGACGCATGTAGTGTAGGTTCAAGGGTGTCGAGTGGAACCGGGTGATGTCACGAGAGCTACCGCCTCCTTATGTACCGAAAGTTAAAGGAGAAGATGATACATCAATGTTCGACAAGTGAGCTCGGGTTAATGTGTGATGTGACGGAGGAGTGGTATGAGCTCCATAGGTACCCTGAATCAGCCGAAGGGTCGACACCAAGCATCAATGTGAGGGATCAAGCCCTCTTCGAGGACTTTTGATACCGTTGTTGATGAAAGCAAAATTGAATGATAATTAGCTGTGCATATCATCTTCTCATGGTATCTTGTTCAAAAAGATACTCAACGGTGTTGGAAGATATTGATGATTTGAGTTGAATCCACGGAAGGATTGTACGGAAATCCACAACTGATACATAACGAGAATTTTTCCTCGGGAATTCCCTCACTTTATTGGGGAATTAACACACTACGTAGGATACAAGCGGAACTAAAAACCAACACGATTTTTCAAAATTTCCTTCTCAATTCCTCATTGTCATCGACACGTGCAGTCGACCATGTGCATATTTTCTCAGTGTAAGACCCGCACAGTTTTAGCCTCACGTTCCGTGAATAGCAACGAGCCCCACGGTTGACTAACTTGTGAGGGATCAAGTACTAGGCCTTCTCATTAGAGGCGCCGATGAGGACGAAAGACATCCAAGTGAAGGACTGACAAGCGACCTCCATACAGTACGATAACTCAAGCGATGAATTCATTGAGAGGAACTGAGTGGGATATAGAAAAGCACAGGGTTCTGAATGGCTAATAGTATTTACATCGCGTAATAGTCGTCACATACGATCACAGTCTTCCCATAACTGCAGACTCATCTTCAGTATCCATAGGGCAGGGGGCCACATCTAGGGGACCGGAAGCAGCAGCCATGGCCGGCTTAAATATAGGAGAAGGAATCGTAGGAATAGAGAACAGCTCATCGATATCACAAGCCGCACTGGAATGAGCTGCAAAGGCCGCCTCCATAGCATCACCCCCACTAGGCGTGGTAACTGGGGATGTTCCCGTTTCAACCAAAGTCTGTTCCTGACTACTGCTCAACAGAGGGCTCTGCGAGGTCGTTGCTGAGTAAGGTGACACGGGAGTCGCCAGGGGGGAGGCAGTGCTGCTCCCTGTGCTATCTTGAATGGCTGCTGTGGTTGAAGCCGTGTTAGAAGATTCTCCTTGACTGTTACCCTCAGCAGTTGCAGCCTCGCTAGCCTTCAGAGTTGATGCTATGTAAGTGAGAGCGGCCAGCTCCACTGAGTCGACACAACCTGATAACGTAATTGGCCTCAACAATGATACAATTATTTTTACTCGGAACAGGAACATAGTTCTCCAGCCGAGCAGCTCTAATCTCGCTTTCAGTGGCCTCTGGCGTCGGAGTAGGCATCGCCTTGCCATCCACACCGTTACCATAAGCCGAGCTGTTGGCATAATGACGATGACGGTAACAGAAGCCTAGAAGGCCTCTAGCAGCCACTTGACAACCTGGATAGTGACAGGGCCGACCCCCACCGTGGCGAGTGCAGAACCTAAGGTAAGATAGAGGGGAGCTTAACTGTGCACGAGGATACTCACCTAGCCCGGGCGGAATCGGAAGACTTGCGAGGGACTCTACCACAGCCTGGAACCTCACAGGTGTTGCGAGAGCCCGTACCTAAGGTGAAGGCCGTTACATCAAAGCTGCTACTTTGTGCTCACCACTATGTCTTCCGTTGCTGCTGTTGTTACTGCCACTGTGGCTTGATGATATTACGGATGCCGACCCGGCTAGGCCGCCGGTTTGTGAAGGGTATTTACACATGAGAAATAATAAGAAGAAGCAAAGGGAGAATAATCTGTACGGCTAAGGTACTCTATAATGATGCATTCCAGCACGGAAGCGATGACATTCAGGTTGAGGTGGAACAGGCCGAAGATTCGCATGTGACTGAAGGTTAAATAACACATTGAAAGGTTCAGAAATGCGCAGGTCATCGCCACAGTGCAACAACAGAAGGGGACAAAACAACTTCACGCGCCATGAAATGTCGCGCACGCCCAGAATAGGCTGCAGATTATTGCACAGGTGTATCAGTGGTTCTAAAATATGGGGTCTACAAATATGGGTCTACGATAAGGACTCGCGGAAAGCTCATCTTAAGAAGGTCAGAGACTAGGGCTTTGTAAGTTGCTTCCTTTTCTCTAAAATCGATTTTAGAAACAATGAACGGGAAGTAACGAGTGATTGACTCGCGCCATGACTTTAATAAAAGAGATGAATAGATATTTGATGCCTTGGATAACCCTGACACTGCTGCATACAGTATACAAATAGTCGAAGAATGATTGGACACTCCCCAGAAGAGTCGAGGGGTGATGTGGTAGTCCCCTCAATAGTCGACGCAGTTCATTGCTGCAGGACCGCCGTAGAAGTCAGAGCGACGTACCCGATAGAGATGGCATCTCGCCTCGTAAGTGAGATAGTTGTGTCGGCCGTTTTTACTATAAAACTCAATACTGACCATGTCCCGTGTAATGGAAGCATTATACGAGTTGTTGACTACCGTGTGGGCTACCACTGCCGTCACCATCGCCATTCGAGTGGTATTGCAGACCGGTGTCTGGTGTAAGAGTCGTTTCCCAATATTTATGATCACGGCGAAGCTTGAAAAAGGCATATACAATCTATGGCAGAATTGAACCGGGGACCTCTTGGTTAGGAGGCTCAGCTTCTACTGCTGTGCACATTGGGCAGCCTGCGAGGGATCCACATTGCTGGTCCCAGGGGCTGGCATGTAAGGCGCTCCCTGAGGAATAGTGACATCCCTCTTCGAACCACCGACCTCTACCGAGACAAACAGCGACACTAACTATCAGGCTATCCTACCTGTTGTGGCTGGAAGCCCCCTCGCTGGCCCCTAGTAGCAGCGGCAGCTGCAGCCGCTGTCGCAGCCATCTGCTGATGCTGTTGGTGACGGACCATCTGATGCGGATCGTACCTGAGAAATTCCACTCATACCACAACTCCCCCAATGCCGATGAATCAGCACCACTACTCACTGTTGTTCTTGACGCTTCTGCTGTTGCTGTAGCTGTTGTAGTAGCACTTGCATTTGAGCTTGTTGTTGATTCTGTAGCGGGTTCATCATCCCACCATACATAGACGCCTGGCCACCGTATACGCCCATCGGAGGAGGCGGTGGCATAACTGGAGTGGCAGCTTGCATTGGCATGTTACCTCTGAATCCTAAATAGTACACAACTAGACCTATTCCGTATCTTACTCGGATGAACCTAAGATACCTTGATTGAGTGCAGCCCTTTGCTGAGCGTATTGGGATGCTTGAGCGACATAAGCGCCCTCAGCCGCCGGTCGACGGCCCATGCCATCATTTCCGCTTCTCGGTGACACATGTTGACCTCTCGCCAAGGGAGCATCCGAGGGAGCAACCTGACCTTTCGTTCTGACCTGAGAATACCATACCACACATCTCCCAACTCATCCCGTCTCATAACCTGAGCCAACTGCCTCTGAAGTCGCTTCATCTGCTCAGCTCCATCAGCATTGTCCCCCCGTTGTTTAGCATTAGATCTCAGTTGTTGCTGTTCTCGTAGGATCTTGAGCGTCTCGTCATGTACACTACCAACGCCCAACTGCTGATCGTCCTAAACGCCCAGGACTAAGTACCACTATCCAGTATGGTAAGATATGCACACGATCAACTACACGTATTGTTACCAACCAGGGAATTTCGGCAAATTCATGTTAGTTGCATTTCATGCATTTTTACCCTACATGTAATGATGTCTGAGAAATCAAATATATATCCCAACACTACCATTACACTCGCCTTGCCGCCGCCGCTGCTGGGGGCGGCTCCTCCTCCTCCTCCAATCATGGCCAGCAGCGCTCGCCCTGCCTCGTTGCTGCCATCCTGATCGACGAACGAATTGTGTTCAAATCCAGCGTAGTTAAAAACGTAGTGAAAACGCCACGACCCATTCATAAAGTACCCCAGAAGGCTTCTGAGTCACAACCGTCGGCTTAGCGCCCTTTTCGAGCTCCTCAAGGGTCACAGCCCCCTTGGGCAAGCCGGCCTTTAACTGAACACAAATTGGGTGACCAAAAGGTCGCGAGTACAAACCCCGGTCACGCTACTTTGCGTTGCTCCACAGTGTCGACCCCCACAGGCTCCTGCTGCCGTGGCTTCAACCATTCGGACATCCTATTGCTTCCTCTCATCGTCGTGGCCGTGGAGACTTGCTCAAAAATACTATTCGACTCCGGGCCTCCCCTCCTGATGAAAGTCGTACTCATATACACCCTCAAGGGAGAAATCGATCATACTTACTTCACGGGGCTGGCATCGCCTGAGATCTCCCCTCGGGCTACCTTTTTAACATACTCTCCAACCGACATAGAGCTCTGCAAGATGAGGGAATTGAACCCACGACCATTCGCGGTGGAGGCCAGACTACCTTCTCAATGGTCGATTCTGCCTTACGAATATCACCCAATGTAAACTTCTTGAGGCCTTCTCCCCCCGTGGGGACAACAACATCGTGATGGCGGCCAGTCAATGGCCGCTGATGAGCTCGGTCGTTGACGAAGCTCTCCTTCGTATTATTTCTATTGCCTGACTGGGATTCGAACCTGTGCGGGAAACGACGTAGCAGCTTACAAACAGTTGCCCAAATAATACGTACTTCTTCCGTTCGCCAGGATGTGCAGATTTGTCATAGGGTTGCTTAGAGGGATAACTCCTGTTAGTGGATGTCGACGGCCCGCCTGTCGACGCTCCCCTCCCCCTCGTACCTCCACGGCGACCTAATAATACAGTTAAAGATGACCCTACCAAGAGTCGATCCCGGGCCACTAGAACCACGTATCGACACCCTAACCATTCAACCAAACTTACCCGGAGGTGCTTGCAGTAGCTGAGACTCCGCATTATCCTTATCAATCAATTCCGGCATACCTCCAACAGGCTTACCCAAACAACACGGTAAGGCCTGATATCCCTTCAACTCGTCAATACTAAAGATCAACCAACCACCACCCGTCTTCTCTGGAGTCTCAGGAAGAGTTTCTAGTGAAGCCGACATATACTTATAAACCACGACTATTGGGAATTACTCTTCTGTCTTAACAACAACCTCAACCTCAACTGAGAATATCACCAAGGAGCCACTCAACCCAAGCACATCACGTAGACCGAGACTAACAAGTAATAAGTTTTCAATCCGCCATCTGCTGCTGGTACTTGTAAAGACATATGTCAATCCCTCGACCTACGACCAAGAGTAATGATATGCATACTCTAGGTAGCCGGCCTACCCCCCTCGAAGATTACCTCGTCAGCTAAATATTCATCATCACGCGCTTCTCCGATAACAAAATGTCGGCCTTCACGACATCTTGCTTCATTTCCTGCCACAACCCACCCATCACAATCCCGCACAGGTTCGAATCCCCCCCCACCTCCGCTCCAAGTTGATCACTGATATCCACTATACACCTCTTCACCTCAGCCCAGAACTCCAATGCCACCCCAAGGTCCTTCATAGGGTCCACGCAGCATGCGAACTTCTTCCGAAGATTCTCATCAAAAGTCGCACGCTTCTCCGCTCCGCTCATCCTGCAATCAACAACAACAACAACTAAGCCCATATACAGGAGCCCAAGGTAAAGAATCACGCCGGTGACACGAAACGGATTCTTCGCATTGCGCCGCGTAATAGTAGTAGCATACAAACCCTAAAACCGTCCTTACGGTTTCCTAGTTTGCGGGGCTTCCCACTCCATAAAGTATTTCATAACAATACCCATGCACGTTCTAGGCAACATGAACACCGGCAACACCGGCGATGGTCCGACTTCAGCGACACGATGCTCTCGATGGTAGGGCTGAAAATTGAGGAAATGCAAGATTTACAAAGATTGCAAGATCCCAGCCATCTACCAGCCTCTCTCCGTTTGCATTCAAATCACTCGGCAACGGCCCGTTCGGACTGAAAGTGTTATTTGGCAATATCTTTATCAACGACTTGTTCTCAATGAGGTCATCGGCCAAACATGATTCACATAGAACCCTCAAGGTCCTCTTAAATAGCCTCAGCAAGGAGTGGAATGCAGCCAAGTCGAATTCCACTGTAGTGTCCCACAGATCGTTCTTCAGCTTCATCGGCACCAGACTGACTACCCTGGACAGCAAAGTGATACTCTTCTGTTTATCACTGACCGTATCAATCTTCGGATAACCGACCGCCGCGGGGAAGCTACTGCCATCGACCGGCTCGAACGGGTCACCAGTGAGGACGCCAAATTTCATAAGCTCCAGAGCGAACAGTGTCGGCTCCTGGAAACGACTTGGGGTGTCCTTCAGCACGTCACCAAGGACAGTCATACCCCCATCTTCAGAGAAATACTCGAGTGATTCGAGGAGTTGGAAGTGAACCAAAGCAGAGAGGGAATTCAAATCTTTAGGTTGAGCGCGAGGCCCAGCAGCAGTCGAGTTCCTCAGTTTAGTCACCAACGGTCCATCGTGTTGGAATTCATTCGCATGCCACTGTAAACAGAACCTAACATTGTGTATGCGTACATACCACTCCTTCGCCAACTCACCTCAGATCAACAGTCTTAGCCCCCTGTCTGCGCATCTCAGCCTCCAGCTCCGCCTTCGTGAACATCCACTTCAATCTCTTCAGATGAGGAATCCGAATTCTACGCAAATTCGGATCCTAAACATCACCACCAAAGATATCCCCGCGCACAGCGAAGATTCCCTACCTCTCGATTTAGCGTGTACAGCAAATGTGCTCTATTCGTAGTCGAAGTCGCCCCCAAAGGTGGCCCTCCCTGAGCTGCTGGCTGCTGTGGAGCTGGAGGAGCCGCCATCTCTCCAACCTCCCAATACGCCGTACATATAACAGGTCGATCTCTCAGGGCCGGGTTCAGTTTATCAGCCATAATGCCCAAAGCCTTAGTCCGATACTCGTTAGTAAGATCGATAAGCAAGGACCTATACTCTTTAGAATCTATCAACGGACTCTGACGATCACACCAAACCCCAGTTGCCAGAACCAGTGGTAGTCTGCTACTGATAAAGCCCATCATAAGGAGCTCATACACCGTCACAGGGAGTCTATCACCAAACACAGTAGACATATCACTTGGACAAACATGTGTAGGAGGAAAGGATATCGGCATCGGTGAGAGAGTCTGCGTACCATCAGGATTATTGATTACCATTTGTGGTGTATTCTCTCCGGGTGGGCACAGATGAGGATTCGCATGCCCAGACCCACAAGACAGAGGGCGCACTTCCAAATCGATCGTATTCAGCACTGGAGTGTAGCATAGGAGTAGCTTGCACACGCAGTATCCCTCAACATGGTCGTTGCGCATATCATCCGTAGGGAAAGTCTGCATCCATGAATTCAGTGGGACTTGGCGTATAAACTCGATAGCAGTCTCGAAGCTAAATGCCCCCGCATGGTGAGCTGCCGCAGGAAGCTGGTTTTCGCCACGAAATTGGTCCAAATTGAGATAAGGGTAAGTAAGGCAATACTCAGTGCCGGCCAGCAGACACGCATCTATAAACTGCTCGCGATTTATATACCATTTGCTCAGAACATGGTCAAGGGATACCCACTCAGCTTTGTTCCTGATGAAGCAGCGGTAGAAAAACGTCACGCGCCAGCACGAAATTGCTCCTACTTCTGGAAGTCCATCTGTAGGAGTACACTCTTCACTCCATACAAAAGGAGACCCGGAGGACCATATACGACTTGGCAGAGGTTGTTAGCCGCCATATACGCCAACTGTGCTGATGCGAAGTAACTAAATGCAGTAAAAATACAGCATGCCGGGATCGAACCTGGGCCTGTAATCCTTACGGTGCTCGGATAACTTCAAAGCCCTTCGACTTCAAGAAGTGGAAAGCGAAGTGGCATATGTCGCTGTTGATGCGGCTCGTGGCAACCGCGAACGCCTTCTGAGCTTCCGAGTCGCGTCCATTGGCCGATAAGGTCCATGCCTGAGAAATATCTTAGGTCACACTTCGTAAGATACAAAATAGGTCCACTTGAAGCCAGTGTTGGGATAGAAATATATTTTCGCTTTCCTCAACTGAGCTCAGGGGTTTCCTCGCTATAGAAAGTTATTCGAAAACTCGGGTAGAAGTGTACAGAAACCAACGATAAATTATCAAAGCTTCCTCCCAGAATTTACATATTGTCACCAACTATGTAGTTGACCATGTGCATATTCCTACACACTGATGGAAGCCCTCAGCGCTTACCTGATCCAGCTGCTGTTGACTAGACTGTTGAAACATTTGATGCTGCAGAGGAGGCACGATGCCGTCAAAGACCTATAGCGAGGGAAATTCCGTCACGCGCCACAAAATTCAGAGTCAGTTGAGATCAGTTTGCTTACGAAGATTGGTTTGATCTTGTAGTGTGAGAAAAGCTCCAGCTCCTTAGCAATGATACCGAAGAGTCCTACAATACATAAAACTAATATGCACAGGAATAGAACCGACAACCTCAAGAATGACAAACCACGGCCTTAACCGCTACACTACTTTTCCTAGTACCTGGAGGCATTCCGCCGAGAGCATCAGCATATGGATCCTTCAGCATTTGTATACTTCGCAACCAGAATGTGGCATCCAAAGCCATCTTCATATCACTCAGCTGATCCATCGAGATCTGACAACAACAACGACAACACCAAATTCATACCACTCCTCCAGATAATCCCCCCAATCGCCGAGACCGACTACTCCAGTACCATTCAAGTAGCCACAAGACTAACGCTACCATCTTCCTCGCAAATCCATTGAAAGGAATTTCAATACGCACTGAGCATGCACTTATTTCAAAACAGACGCCGACAGGAACAATATTGTCGTAGCTAAGACGTTTTGAATTCAATCACGTTCCTCGTCATCTGTCACTAAATTCCGAGTCCTATGAAGTTACGTAAGAACTCCACCATAGAAGCTCAAAGGGCCTACCTGTTGGATCATGCCTTGATCTTGCAGTGTAGTTTGCAATTGTCTAACGCGCATCTCAGAACAAGTAGCTGTATAGATTCTCGGGTTTTATATTTGCCAACTCGGAAACTGTCAAGTGTATCAACCGCTAGTCGCCACCACTACCGGTGTTGGAAGCAGCGAAGGGAAAGAGTAAAAACTAAAACAATTATTTTCAACTTCATGCACCCTGGAAACCCAACTCGAAATAGGTGGGATGAAATCTACCACTGCATGCCGATCTCGTGCGGAATTCATCCATACCACTCCAGCCGCTAATCGCAGAGCTACTGGTCGTTCAATGGCGAGACCATGGTCCTGCTAGAAGTACTTAACTACGTACGGTATCCCCTTGTGCATGCGTGCGGAATCCGTTCATACCACTCCATCCGCTAATCCTAGAGCTCCTGGTTGCTGGCCTCGCCGCCCAAGTATTCAACCACGTTACAGTATCGGGCTAATCCTATGAATCTAGAGGAGGCCCATAAGGAGGTCGATTCCATCGTGTAATCTTATCACAGCTTATCACGTGGCGAGGTAACTAACACGAAAATACCTTTTCAGACAAAGGGTCAGTCTCAAAAGCAGGAACAGTAAAACCCCCGAGAAAATTACAATTTTTTTTGCGTTTCCCACACTACTAGAAGATATTGATTCGTTATAGGCTACCAACACTTTCCAACTATGTAGACCACTAGCGCT